CTGTAATATTAAACCTTGCAGAACAGCTGTTTCTACACCAAGAAAAAATAAGCTGTGGCAGTCTGGACCATCAGCCTTGGCTTCCCAACTGTCTACCTTTGCTTAACTGAGGAAGCTCCCTGCCAGGTCTGTTACATGAAACGGCTTAAGGTGCAATCATTTGCAATTTTCTTGCAGCTAAGTAATTTAACAAGCCTATTGTCAGAGTGGGCTATTCAGCTAACAGGGGTGGCCTGATTCTTTCCAGAAGCAGATCCTGATGCATTGCAGTTATTTTGAATAGGTGGAGCCGAGCTTTGATGGTGAGGATGTGAGAAACTTGTTTCTGCTGGGAATGAAAGAGGCAGATATTCTTGGAGTGCTCCCAGGACCAGGGTGGCACCAACTCTCCAGATGAGGACAGGCAGGCCTGGGAAATGAGGAGTGTACATGCAGAGATGGTGGAGGAGGGTGAGGTTGTCCTGAGGCCATCATCTCCAGGTGTTCAGGCAGTCCTTAGGAATAGGCAGGGTTTTGAAGTTCAGGGAAGGCATCATGGGAGAGGAGTAGGAGGAACCCAGGTGGTTCCCTGACATGGCTTTTAGGGAGAAGGGCTATGGTAGATCTAGGAGGGCAGTCCTTCTCCAGAGGGGCACACCCAGAAGGGTGGAGCCCATGGTTGCTGAAAAGAGGTGTTCTTAGAAATAATTTCTGTTTGGGTTCAACAAATCTCTCTGTTCATGTATATATCATCTGGCTATAGTTCACTAGCAGCATATTAATAAAGAGCTCTTAAGCAAAAACATGGTCTGTTGTTTGAAAGGCATTAAGGGGGGACCCAGCTCCTAACAGTTTCTTCCCTAGTAGCCTCCTCCATTTTTGCTCCTCCCTGCTCACCCATCCCAGTGCAAAAAACCCCAAAAAACACTAAATGAAACCAAAAGGGCGTGCATGTTCCTACAGCACAGCAGCTTAGCCACTAAGCAGGGAGAAGAGGAGGAGGCATTCAGGTTTTTTATTTTTATTTTTTGCAAAGCTGTTGTAGATAGATGTATTGTTGTCCTCTTTCAAACGCCTACTGATTCAAGAATGTTTCTTTCCTCAAGGTTATATTTGGAGAGACTGATTTCATAGCCACCTGAAGTTACTCCTCCTGTATTTGGATCTCTTTGCTCAGTTTTGTCATGCAATTCTGCTGCACTGTTTCATTTAAGGAATGGACTATTTACAATATGATATAAGGAATGATAGAAATGGAGAGAATGGACTGATCAGCGTGGGATGAAGAAGGCATCAAGAGCTTTACCTTGTATAAATTTCAGTGCCTATCTTAACGATACAACAGACCCAAGGGGTGTTTTCCATGATTATTCAGCTTGTTAGGAAGCCAGTGCTGCTTTTCCAAATAGCCGTTCAAGATTCTGTCCTAGTGACTGTTTGTTCTCTACAAGTGAGATGGCCCAAGGCAAAGAATTTATGCATCCATCTAGAGAGGTCATGCACAGAACATCCTTTCAATATTTAACATGTGGTTTGCACAAAGGTGATTTAGCTTACAATGACCTGTGTGTGCGCGCGTGTTGAAAGGGGGCCTTGCTTTCTGTTTCAACACTTAGCCCTTGTGCATTAAAAACCGCAGTAAGTATTTTACTTCCTGCATTTTGAAGGAGAAGATTTACTGAATAGCTTCTCACACTAACACGAGCTATGTCTGACCTTGCATAAAGTACTTTGGTGTCGGTGCATAACGGAACACAGGGATAAGTGGAATTGGTTTGGTATTAGGCTGACTTCCTGAAAATGGTGCTTCCAGATATTCTGGACTGCAGCTCCCAATGTCCCAGACCACTGGGCTTGCTGACTAAAGCTTACAGTAGTTGTGAGCCAAAACATCTGTGAGGAAGGCTGGTATGATAACCTGAGAGCTGAAAGAGAAGCCAAGATTTTTAATCTTGACACAAGCTCACTATTTTGCTTCATATTCATGATGCAATTTAACCTCTAGGCTTCAGCTGATTCTGGGGCAGTTTTGCTGTGTCTGAACCAAAGATACAGTATACAAAGATTCTTCCTTATAAGAAATAAAACTATTTATATTCTTTGAAACAGATAATTTCACTAACAAGAGCAAAGGTTCAATCCTATCTAAAGGTTCAATCTATCATAGGAGTACACTTTAAGAATGTATTTCTTTTTGGTTTTCCACGCTGGACCAGTCTGAGAAGACACTGTTGGGGTTCGAACATAACATTTTCAACAGGTAAGGCAAAGATTTGGTACTGCCTCTAAGTCAGCTATAGCTCATTCCAAATTGGGTATCATAGAAAAATCAGCCTAGTAGGTTCCAGGCATAATGGTAAATTGAATTTTAAGCACTGCTTAAAATATACTTTGACTTAAAAGTAGTGCATTCAACCTGATGGATAACATGATGGGAAAATTAAAATCGAGGAGTGTTGCTCTAGCATCTGGGGCTTTTTCATTCCTTTGGTTGCTGCTTCTTACCATTTTCCTTCTTTGATCTCACTCTCCTCAGCCTTGTTCCCTGTACTGCTTTCTGTAATTGTTTAGACAGAAAAAGGGGATTACAAATCCTAGCATTCCCCAACCAGCTGTGCTTTACTTCCTGCCTAACAATGCATAGGATTCTGCCTTAGTTCAATTGGTTGAGGCAACTCACATGGTTTACAAAGTGTCATGTTCCAGGTATGCTGTGATGTCATTGACAGAATCATATGGCTCACCATAGATAAGATAATTCCATTGTAATGTGGGTAAAGTAAGCTAAGGAAGGCCAATGGCCCAACAAGGAACAGCATTAAACCTATGCAAATTTATCTGTAATGCAAATGAATTGGAATTTTGATATACATTAAAACACAGGTAAGTAACATAACAGCAAGGTAAAGAGTCATTTTTGCTTTAAGTTCGTGTACAAATTTGTGTATGTTTTTAAAAATAAAAATAATTAAACATACTGGGTTATTTACCACATTTGGTTAAGACCTATAATCCACCTAGATGTGGATGGCATTGTACTTAATAATTACATTTAATACTATTATTAATTCCTTTCAACTTTGCTTCAGACTTTCAGCTACAGAACAGATAATAGAATTTTGAAATATATGCTTTTGGAAGATATTGGTATTGCACACAGAAAATAGTCACAAAGGATTAGATTTCTTTTTTATCAGGCAAGCTTTTCAATATGTGGGTAAGTCAAAGTGGAATCCTCTGTATTGTGTTTATACAAAAAGAATTTGATAAATGCACCTTGAAACAGCCCAGAGAATGTTGAAAGCTTTGTGTATATGAATGTTTTTATTCCTGCAAAGAATTAATTAAATCATCTCCATCATTCACACATCGCACTGCACCCCTGCACGCACAAGCCACCAGCCCATCTATTTCTCCAGCAGTTCTGTCCTGTCATTTCAGCTAAAGAACGCTGTGTTTTTACATCCAATGCATATATCCTCATGGTCCCCATTATGTCTTTCTTATCAAAAGCTTTGAATGTTTTTGAATAAATATACACAGTTTTCATGTATCATTATTCACGGGTTTGGATTTCCTGCCCTTCCCATCTTCTCGGCAGTCTTTTGTATCCATAGGTTGAATGCATGCCAGTTACATGGAACTGACCATGCTAGAAAGAAGGGTTGCTTTAAAATGTTCTCTCTGACATGGAAACCTTTGGAGATAATTTTGGATAACTGCCTTCTTGCCTGAAACTGGATTTGAACAGCCCCATTACATTGGACCTTATTTCCAAGATAGGTTCAGACGACTACCTGGAGTACAAGTACCGTCTCGCCAACAGGAAACCACAACACTAGCACCTCATTTGTAAGCTGCATGCTTGTTCGTTGTTTCTCCCCTATTCTTCCTTGCTGAGGCCATAAAGCCACATTGGATGCCTCACAAGAGGTAAGAAGGTGGGATATAAATGCAAGATAATGATGACAATGACAAAGAAGAAGTTGGGAGCACCTGAGCTTGCTTTTAAGCAATCTGCAGCTTCTCATTGTCTCCAAAATTGGGAAACTATGCTCAGCTGAAATTACAACTAGATAACAAGCCGGGATAATACACCATGTTTTTGCAAACAAGGAAGCCATAGTTCTGCTCATACACACTGGGAAGCTGTGAATACCTTAAAAACAGTAACACACACTTCTATTCACTTAATACTAGCCCGGAGAGGGAAAAAGTCAAGTTTTATTGCAGCTCATCCATGTCAAACTAAACTATGGTTTAGCATTACTTGTCAAAAGGCTTGGTGTGAGGCCCTTTAAATATTGTTCTAGCCATACCCCAGTTGCTTTCCTGTTGCACACTCCAGCACAACTGAGGTAATGTTTAAAGGACCTAACTACATTGCTGGGGGACTCATTACATGGATATGGCCACCTGATTCTTAGACTGCTGGAAGGCTCTTGTAGATCCCATAGGAAAGACCAGTGATGATCTAAGTCAACACTGATGGTGCATTTACAACAGAGGGGCCAGGGCCCTTTCTAACCCAATTCCATTTCAGGGCAAAGGAAAAAGAAGTGGTCAAAATATCAAGAATGCCAGTGGAACTTTTACTTCCAGTAACTACATTTTTAGGCATTTCAGTCTTTTAGAGAGATGGAAAACTGCACAAAAGCTGGGGAAAATTGCACAACTTTGGCAGCTGCGGGGAAGGGACACTGCAGTTGGGACTGGAAGGAAACCTCAGCAGGCTGGACTGGCATCCCAGGCCTGAGCTCTGCATCCCTGGCTGAGACAGAACCCAACTCTGTAGGGCTTGCCTGTGGATGCCAAGGGTGAATGAGGAACATGCAAATGGCTCCAACAAATTCCAGGGTGTCGTTAATCCACATGCAATTTTCAATAGTCCTGTTACGAAAAGCTAGCACGGAATTCATTCTGGTTTACAAAGTGCCATGTAGCCAAATCTCCTTCTCTTTCTTCACTTAACAACTTGATGTATATTGATTGCTCTCATTATAGGCAAGCAGACTACTGACCTGCAATAAAAAGTTCTTCCAGGGCCGTCAACACATTTACCTCCATTGAAACAGAGGGATGAGTTCAGAAGAGGTTCAGTGCAAACGTCAATATCCACTTCACAAAATTCACCTGTGTATCCACTCAAGCAAATGCACTCAAACGCATTGACCAAGTCTTGACAAGAGCCGCCATTAAGACAGGGAGCCGATCCACATTCCTGAAGAGATAAATAACAATAAATCGATTCCAGAGCCTTAGCACTGTAATCGTATTTCCCATGAAGAGAACCTCACGTTGCAAGAATCCTGGGTTTTATTATATTATGTCCCTAAACAGAGCCACTCATCACAAGTTAAACATATGTCTCCATTGTTATAATATAGGCCTTGGGAAGGGCGGAGGAGTAATCCTTGATTCTTTTTTCTAGCTAGTTGAAAGAAAAGTCACAAGCTACAACAGCACACTACATATGAGTAGCTAGTCACAGGTATTAGCTCTGTGTAGTGATGGCAGGCACCAGAATGCAATACACTTTTTCATCTGTGTTTCAAGAACAATACATCACACAGATTTAAAACACGCTGGAGTGATGCATGTCTATATGACATACAAATCCCATTAACTCTGCTTGTGTCTTGGGCACTTTTGTTTATTAAGTATCAGATTCACACCCCACCTTTTATTCCTCTTGCAAGGAACCCAAGGCAGCTTCCACGGTTCTCCTCCTCTCCATTTTATTATCACAACAACCCTGTGAGGTAGGTTAGGCTGAGGGACACTGACCCAAGATCACCCAGTGAGCTTCATAGCCAAGTGGACTAGAAGCTGGGACTCCTGAGTCCCAGTCAAACCATCTGAACTCTATACTATATTGTCACTCATTATATAGCTCAGTAAGGCATTGCCATGATACCTCCCCCCACAAATACTTTTTCACTAATTGATGTTTCAGAGACCCCCACAAACTCCACCATGCAAGCCATAGCTCACCATGGTTCAAGACTATTTGTGCCATGGAGCTGTCGAGGACTGATCCAAACTAGTGAGCATTCTAAAGTTAACCAAGGGCTTAGGTACATTTTCTTATACTACGGCAGTTACTTGAATGCAAAAACATAAATCCAAGGGGAATGCTTTGCAACAACATGGTTTCTCTATCTCCACTCCAGTTGGGATGTAGGATGATTTATTAGAAAGCATTACAAGAAGTAATTGAATTATATACCCCATAGGAAGTGTGGGATACTTTATATATTGTTAAAGAAACAGAACCTATGGTTTACAAATTAGTCTTTCACTAAATTAATTAAAAAACTTAATGGGAAAAACTAAGTCAATTTTTTGTATACAAAAAGATCAGCTTGCATTTTCAAATTAGTGTGGTCTGTCCTCGTGAGCTATACACAAGAGATTTATTCTACTCCTCCACCCCTGCATATATTCTCCTGCAGCGTGTTAGCACTTCAAACCATTCTAGTAGCTTTGTTCTCATTTTACACTCTATATGAAATTTATGGGGAACAAATCAACCTAGAATAATAGTTCATAGGAGAAACCATAAAAACCACTGGGAAGTATCAAAGTTAAAAATGAAGCAGGAAACAGAAATAGGCATTGAGCATGGGAATGGAATTCTACTGGCCATTCTTATAAAATGACTGGCTAGCTGGGAAGGCAACATCTGGAACTAGCTGGTCAAATTTTTGATATTTCTTGGAAAATTGTGGAAATATCTGACATCTCCACTAGCATCTCAAATGTTAAAAATGACTAATATGATGAGTACTGATCAATAACCAAATACATTAATCAAATTTATTGGGTGGGATTCCATTTTCCTCTTATTCCAAAAGGAATGAATGCACTTAACATTATTCCAACAAAATCAAGAGGTAAGCACACCTTGCTTGGGTAAAGTGCTTCATTCGGGCAAGAAGATATTATTAAGGTTTCTCCCATCTACTCCAAGATACCACTGGGCATGATTCTTCTGCCAGCGCAATGAGACTTTCCCTTTCGCCACTTTCCCCTTTAGCCCTTCATGCCAACAGACCCACAACAACTGATTTTCATTTTGTGGGGGTCTATAAGCAGGAAGGGAATTGTGCTCCACTGATGGATGTCATCCATTGGTGTGTGTTCCATTGATTAATTATAGGGATGGCACACAGTTTTACTTCTCCTTTTCTCTGTTATCAGGTGAGACTGGATGCGCTACATCAGTGTCTGATGGAAACAATGGGCTGGATGATGCTACATAGGAACATGCAATCCTTAACCAAACTTGTTCCCCTTGAGCTCTAGGAACTTCAACACCTTTCCAACTGCATGATCAGAATTCAGTGGAGCCAGATTTTTTTTTTTTAATTTACCTTTTAGGTGGTCAGAAAAAGTTTCCCAGACCAAGAGTAGATAACTCTTTTGCATCTTCTTAATTCTCCTGTAAAGGCTTTCTGATGAGCCATTAAAGAACCTTGGCTGCAGTTCAGCTCTTAAATGTTACCCTAATTTATCTTCTCAAACTAGAATATCTACCTTCCAGATCTTTACCAACATCCAACAGCAATGGCCCTTCACTTGCTATTTTTCTACTTATCTGCTAGCTTTCCTCTATCATGACATTTTTCTATGTTGCATCTTCTCTGCAATATGTACTCCTCCATGTGTGATGGAGAGTGAAAGACAGTGAGAAACATGACAGAGTGCTTGATGTTTCACATGGGGGACACTCTGAGATAGTTCTTGTTCTCTCTTTGCATGTTTGTCCAAAGCCACTTGACTATGGGCTTCTCACACCGCTCTTCAGGGCAAGCCTCTTTGGAAGAGGAAAGGGTGGTGTTGGGGCAAGTATGCTAGAGAAAGTGAGTCTTTGTAAATGTGTGGGGCATTGCAAAAGTTGGGGGCTGGATGCCTCCTCTGATGTTGGTCTGATTCTTTCTATAAGTGTAGGAATGCGCAAGGTTGGAAAACTCATTCTCTTCCACTGACTTTCCTAATGTTTTGTGTTTTTTTTTAATCTCTGGAAATAGTTGTTGAGCCAAGCACTCTTTTGCCACTGTGAAAGTTTCTGGACACCCAACATATGCATAGGCTTGTATTGGCTGATTTCAGCTGTCCCTTCCTCTCATTCTCTGCACTTCGTGATATTTACTTAATTTGATATAATCTGTTTTTGACATGCTTATTACAATAAAGCCAAATAAATACTAACTGGACAACAAAGATTTGTTCTCTGATTTGTATTGCTGGTTGGGCAGTCTGTTGTAACATCTTGCTTAGCTTGATCCATGAAAAAAATAAAGATGCCTTCAACCAAAACCTCATTTTAGATTTCTTTTCAAATCCTTCATTCACATTACTACATTGTGAGCCACACTTCTTGGCATGCAAATCTCAGGATAAGATTCTGGATGAAGGGGTACAGACACCAAGTCAGAAACGCAATAATGGGACCCTGAAATCTCATTAAAAAGAAGATTATTTTTATTGGTTTTACAGTTGTTCATATGGCAGAACTGGGAACTGGGTTTCCAATTAACCAGAGAAAAGAACTGGCCTGCTCTTGTCCTAACTGCACATGCAGAAATCAGCAAGTGAATTTTCGTATGGCACAAAGATAGTTATCACAGAAAGACACATGTCTACCAATGATAAGACTGAGGGCTCACTGTCCAAGACTTGCAGAAATTGAAAAGCACTTGAGGGAGCTAACAACCACTTGAGGTCTGCACATGCTTAATAGTCACAGAACTCCAAGGGCACTACCCTACGAATTTTTAGGCAGAAAAAAAGCCCTACAGCTACCAGAATTCCCAGTCGACCATTAAAATCCAGGAGGAGGATGGAATGGAGTCTCTTGCAATAGGGCCTGGCTGGCTGGCTCCTTAATCAGGAGCATTTCATAATCCAGCATTGTACTGAAGGGCCTCATTTTTTGACATATCCATACTAAGCAGCTGTTACAGGCATAGTCAGATGACATAATCAACATAAAAGTTGGAAATCTGGATAATGAAAGAGGAGAATAGGAAAACAAGGCTGACTTGTTCTTAGAGGCTACAGTTATTTTCTTCCTCATGCACTTCATTCAGTTCCAGGAACAAATAAATCAACTGTGATGAGCAGAGTTCAACAGATATGAAAGAGGGTGGGGTGCTGAGAATCTCCTTGAGCTGAGAAGCATGTAACTACATGAAAAATTGCTTTGTCTTGGCTCAGACCATGCAATCCATTTGGCCAAGTCTTTTCTTCCATTCTACACTGAAATTCTTGAATCTAGGATCTTTTGCATGCCCAGAAGATGCTATTGAGCATGGTTCTTCTTGAGACTCTTGCTGTCACTGCTCAATCTTAATGTTTTCTTCCCCAGGGTAGGGAAAGTGAGATTAAGTGCTTCATAAACCCAACAACCTTTCCAGCTCTAACATCTTGAAGTTTATTACCCACTTATGTGTCATTGTTCCCTAATTCCAATTATTCTAAGGAGGTTTTCCTAGTCAGATTGCTGAGGCAGCTGTTTGGAACCTTTGAAATAGGAAATTGAGAACTAGTAACCAAAGTTGTCTTGGCTCCTCACTTCCTCTAAGGGAGAGCATGACCTGTTCTGAAAATCAGCCTTCCTTAACCAGGTGCTCTCCAGATGTGTTGGATAACAATTCCCACCTTCTATGAGGGGATGTCACACGGAGATGGGTAGAGACCTGTTCTCCCCTGCAGAGGAAGGCAGGACGCGCTCCAATGGAGCAAAGCTCAGGGAACCAAGGTTCCATTTAGATGCCAGGAAGCACTTCCTGAGAGTTAGGACCCTGAGGGTGTGGAATGGGCTTCCACGGGAGGTGGTTGAGGCCCCATCGGTGGGGGTGTTCAAAGATAGGCTGGACATGCACATGGTGGGCATGTCGGGAGTGGAGCCGGCTGGTGCCGGAGGTCAGACTAGATGGCCCGGGAGACCCCTTCTGACTCACTCTGTTTCTATGTGTCACATGGTCTCAGCCTTTCCAACCTGGCTGGACTACATCTTACATCAGCCCAGTCAGCAGATCTATGGGTGTAGAGAGTGGGCTCTTGCTCAGGCTGTGCAGTAAGCGTCATCATCAGGTTCTGAAGTGGAGGGGGAGAGGCAGGAGAAGACAGGGACCTAACCCTTTGAAGCTCTTTCAAGGTTGCTCAGTGAAGTTTCTCACACTGAGCATGAGAATCAATCTCTTTGGGAAGAGA